GTTCTTAGGCCTTAAAGATGTAATAATAAATCATAGATAGGTAGAAATATGGTATGTTATTCATGAGAATGATGCCTTGTAGCCACACAATATGGTGATTAAACCAGTTAAGGATTTATAATAGATTGTTAAAAACAAAAAAACTATAGTCAGACTCATCAAGTTAAAATGCACATTTTTTATTTTTATGATAAGTGAGAAATGGTTTAAAAATGCAAAATGAGAATAAAAAACTGGTAATCAAATATTCTGTATTTCCCAGATGGATTGAATTTATAATTGGGGAGGAGTTAGGTTAAAAGCCAGAAAAGATGGGGGGGGTTAAGAAATAAGTTGAAAATTCTCACTAAAAAGATAAAACTGAATTCTTTGCTAAAATAAACCTTAGAGCCTATATCTTGAGAAAATTCTCTGTGTGGTTTTTTTTGTTTTCATTTTTAATGGCTTAAGAACATACATCAGAGCTCCCTTTTTGGAAACACATTTGGTGTTTCTGAAATGTGTAAGGAGCTGCTCAGCATTAAAGAGATGAACAGCCTCCTGGGAAACCTTCCCCCAGTGGCTGCACAGCCTGCCAATGACAGGTCTGGGACTTCCAAAGGTCAGGAGAGAAGGGTGGGCACTGATAGTTAATAAGCATTTCCTGTGTCGCAGGCATTTTGCTGTGGATATTATACCTCATATCTGATAGTCTTACCTTTTAAGGACCAATCTGTTCTTACCTTTAAGGCAGATGTTACTATTCTCATTTTACACTTGATGTACCTGAGACATAGAAATTCAAAAATCTTGCCAAAGATTTGAGAGGAGGCAGATTTAAACCCAAATGCATGCGATTCCAAAGCACGGCTTCTTCCTACTTTTATAAAAGCCAATAATTATTGGGCACTTACTATATTTGTAGCAAGACTGTTCTAAGTGATACAATAGATTTTCTCTTTCAAGCCTCACAACAGTGCAATGAAATAAGAATTTAACAAATATATATAATTTCTTTTCATTTCAGAGAGTGGCAGGGAGAGGGAGAGAGCTACACAGGCTGGGCAAAATAGAAATTATCCCCATTTTGCAGATAGAAAACTGGGGCACAGAATGTTAAGTAAGTTGCTCAATGTCATACAATTAGTAAGTGGCAAAGTTAGTCCAACTCAGTAGCATATACTTTTTTCTTCTTTTGCCTGTTGTGAGTACAAGTGCCCTTTTCAAGGATCAGGCTTGATTCTAATTGTCAGGGAAACCTTTGACTTCTAATTTTTAAGCATATGAGTCATGGAAACGGATTTCTCCCAGTTGGGTACTTTTGGGTTGCCTCACCTCCAATGGTCCCTTTTTTTCTAATTGGATCATACCCTCCAGGACATTTCGCTGCTGGAATATAGTGGTTTTGGAAATGCTTCTTAGTCAGTTCTAACAAGTTTAGCTCAAACTCCATTCTTTTTTTTAAAAATATATTTTATTGATTTTTTACAGAGAGGAAAGGAGAGGGATAGAGAGCTAGAAACATCTATGAGAGAGAAACATCGATCAGCTGCCTCCTGCACACTCCTCAGTGGGTATGTGCCCGCAACCAAGGTACATGCCCTTGACTGGAATCGAACCTGGGACCCTTGAGTCCGCAGGCCGACGCTCTATCCACTGAGCCAAACCGGTTAGGGCTCAAACTCCATTCTTTATTAAAATTTTATTTTTATTGATTAGAGAGAGAGAGAGAGAGAGAGAGAGCGAGAGAGAGAAACATCAATGACTAGAGAGAATCATTGATCGGCTGCCTCCTGCATGCCCCACATTGGAGATCAAACCTGCGACCAAGGCATATGCCCTGACCGGGAATCAAACCGAGACCTCCTGGTTCATAGGTTGACACTCAGCCACTGAGCCACACTGGTCAGGTTCACACTCCATTCTTTTACATGGACTTTTCTTAAGACTTAATTTAAAACATTATTCAAATTATTTGATGGGATTATAACTCATATTCTTTCTACTTTAAAAGTATTTGAAGTAGATTAAAGTGATATAATGGGAATAAAAACAATAAGAACTCAAAAGTATACAGAAAACAGGAGATAATTATACCAGAGACTTAAGGTATTGTAATTAACTGCTACAGGGCATATAATGCTAAATTTCCTGGTAGCTGAGGCAACAAAGAAATATAATTGGTCAAAAAATGTTTATTATATGTTCAAAGAAGGAAAAATCATGCATTGGGGAGGATGAATTTCGGTGACAGGCTATTTGCCAACCCTGTACTTCTACAAGTTAAATCATGTCCACATATTCCCTGAAGCACTCAGATCTTAAAGTGCTGTGGTAGAGACTTTACAGAACTGCCACTGATAGTTTATATAGAGGCACCATGGCTATCTGTAATTCTTGCTTAGCAACACTTAAATGTAGGCTTGCTCCTCTGGGGAAAGGTCAGGTTCTGGCTCCCTCCCTCCTTTGTCCAGGTGTCTGCTCAGAGCAGGTGTCTGTCTGCTCACAGACATCTTCTCTGACTGTCCTCACTAATGAGGCTCCCTCTCTGTGCACCTGTTCTACTCTCTCTCCCCTGGACTATCCAACACCATAGCCACTAGCCATATGGGACAATTAAAATTAATTACATAAAATTAAAAAGTCAATTCTTTGGTCACATTAGTCACATATCAGGAGCTCAGGAGCCACTTGTGGGACGTGGTTATTATATTGGACGGCAGAGTTACATCATCCCAGAGAGTTTTGTTGGGCAGTGCTATTTTATTATACTCTTACCCTGGCTTTCATTTTCTTTTTAGAACTTTCCCAACATTATGCCACACACTGGCTGGTTTATTTATGTTCCACTAGCATGTATGCTCCCAATAGAAGAGGTTTCCCCCCCTAGAACATTGCTGGATGCTCAGTGTCTAAAGCAGTATCTGTTACAGTTCTCTGTAAATACTGTTGAATGAATGAATGAATTTTAGTATTTCAAATAAAAAAATTTTGTCTAATGTCCACGGGTGACCTAATACACTGTTCTCCCACAAATTTTAATGAAAGAATGAAAATTCTGTAACCAAGGACATGGACTTTAAAGATAATGTTATTACTAAATATGCTAGCCAAACTTTTATTTCTTTTATCTTTCATCTGATGAAGGATAGTAAGTATGAAAGTTTTGCTTAACAGCTAACATATTGTCCTGAACATAAATGTTAAAAATATCAATTTTCTTTGGATTCTGAAGTCATGTGAGTGGAAGGAGAAAAAACAAGATACTTATTATAGAGCTAATTGGACTTTGCTACATAATTTACAGCAACTGTGACACATGGCAGTGGAATATAGTGAAGCAGTATTGTGCACTTGTAGCTACACACATGAGGAGAAATCATAATGCATTCTATAGAAATGTCAGTTTACCTAAGTTATTTTTAAATAAAACTTATCCATGAAATGATTGCAGTGTCTGAAAGGAATTTGCTATCTGGACAAAATATAGCTAGAAGCATGACTGCCTTAGGGTTGCCTATAAATAGACATCGGAGCTAGTTTTGTGAATTCTGCCAAGGATGCAGCTTCAATAGCCTCAAAAAAGATTGTTTCTCTTGGGCTCAGCATTGTCGGGATATACTTGGATGGGTGACGGAGGAGGGAGGTACCCGACAGAGCCAGGGTGTCTGATAGTCAACCTTCACAGTTAGCCAAATGATAGATGGCAGTTGGCCGTCATGCCCAATTTCAGTTACTGACAACTAGGAATTAGGTAAAGTAGGGGCGTTTTCTCCTTCACCCTCTCTTTCCAAAATGCAGATATTTTCTGAGTAGTGTTATCAGTAAATTTGGAAATGCAGATGATTGGGCATTTATCTGTAGGCTGTGCAGGATTGGTGTTATTTTTCTATTTTAAGTAAAAATGTCCTTGCATAACCTTTCACCCTTTCATTGGTTTTAAAATCAGGTCCAGTGAAGGACCAGATTCTTCATTTAAAAATGACTAATTTTGGAAACCCATATGCTCAGTTAAGGTTTCTAAACTGCAATAAATATGAATTAAAGATTCATCAAAATTGTTATATTTGCAATTTTAGTTTTTGATACTTTTGGGGGAAAATCTATTCTGTGAATATATATGAAATTTAAAGCTTTCCACTGGTGCAGGATCCAGATATGTTCATTGCTGTTAAGACCTTAGGGGTTGTTTTTAGCCACCAGGAGACCATTCCCTGTGTGCTGAGAATAATGTGAGAGCCATAGACCGTCTGAGTCTATTGATTTGACTCAGGCAAAGGAAAGAAAATGGCCCTGTGGAAGCTCTTTGTTACATAGAAGCAGGGAAGTAGTTGTGAAAAGGAAACTAGCTGAGGGTTTGACACACAGTTCATGCTCATTTTATTTTATTTGTTTAAAAATTTTTATTGATTTCAGAGAGGAAGGGAGAGGGAGAGGGTGATAAAAACATCATGATGATAGAGAATCATTGATTGGCTGCCTCCTGCACCCCCCCCCCCCCGCCCCCAAGACCAAGCCAGAAATCAAACTGTGACCTCCTGGTTCATAGGTTGATACTCAACCTCTGAGCCACACCGGCCAGGCCATGCTAATTTTAAATTGTCCTGATACTTGACTATAGAATCAGGGTTCCTTTGCTGGGGAGAGTCTGCTGAAGACTTTCCCAGGTCACGTGGGGAGATTGCTTCCAGAACTCTCTCCCCCGCCCCCAAAGGCTTTTTGATGTAGTGAATCCAGACTTGACGTCACAGAATCTGACCACTACTGATGGGAAAGTAACGTAAACATCATTTCCAAAAATAATTTTTCATCTATTCATGAGTCAGTGTGCTTTTTACCACATGTGGAAATTTGGCTTCTCAAATAATTTCTGTCCAGAGGCTGAAAGCCTAACACCAGCAGTAGCTCGCTCTGTACAGGTGAACATCGATCCTGGAGTATTTCTTCCTTAGTTGATGCTTAGTAACCATCCTTTAACTTTGATCCATGTCGAGATCTTAAGGGAGATAGTTTATTGAGACATGGGTTTTCAGGTTAGTATTTTTTAAAATTTCTGTTTCTGTGAGTTCACTTTGGAGAAGAGTGCCAGATTGTCTTTGGAATCACTAAATCAAGCTGTCTCCTCCTGACTTTTACGATGTCCTTATAATGACTAACACATACCTTTTCTGCCTTCAGGTTTGTAACAAGTGTGAAACTGAGTTTCAAAGGTTCATTCCTGCCTTATTTCCTCATGGACTATACATAGCCCAGAAGCATCATCTTACGACATTTTAAATCTCAAAATGTAATAGCACACGTTACATAATAAAGCCATAGTACTTCTAACTGAATATAGTATCCCTTTGGAGTTTGTGCACATACATTTTTTATAACCCTATGTGCCAGTATTTTAGCAGGTCTATCTATTTCTTTAGGGCAGAGATTATACTTACTTATTCTCAAATAACTCTAGACACAGAAAAAAAAGTTGTAAAAATACTACACTGAATTTCATTGTACTCTTTATACAGCTTCTCCAAACGTTAACATCTTACATAATCATAACCTAATTATGGAAACAAAATGGACATTGATATAATAATATTAACCAATAGGAGTAATTTATTTCAGTTTTTCCAATTGTTTTATATTGTCTTTTGGTAGGTCCAGGACCCCAAAGTGCATTTAATTGTCATGTTTCCTTATTCTCTTCTAGTCTGGAGGAGTCTTTTCCATTTTTCCTAACTTCACTACTTGGGAGAGTCCTGGCCAGATATTCTATAGAATGTCTTCCAGTTTGGGTTTATTTTATTTCTTTATGCTAAAAATTGGCATATGCATGTTTGGAAAGAGTATCACAGAAGTGATGCTGTGCTCTCTCAGTGGATTATATCAGAGGGTACATGATGTCAATATGTCTCATTGCTTGTAGTCTAATTATTGGGAGAAGATGCTTTAAGACTATGCAGATGTCCTGTTTCTCATCATACTTTTTGCCTGTTAATTTTATATTCC